TTTTGATACATAATTTCCTTAGCCACTAACGGTTTAACTGGTGGTAAGCCTTGTACCAATTACGTTTTATTGCAAAATTGCCAGATTTGTACCTACACCCTCACTTCTACTCCAGCGACTGATTTCCACTTTTAAGTAGTTGCCATTGATACCGAGATGTATCACAGAAACCTCGAATTTAGCCTTTCCAAAATAAATTACATTAATCTTTTTCCCTACTCTTGCTCCTTTGTTATCTTGGTTAGTCATCCTACTGAAGCATACAATCCTAAATCTGAAAAAGATCTGAGATCAGCTAGCCCAGCCTAACTCTTCTAAAGATAAGAGGACAGAGATAGACTAGCCAACCATCTAGGGTTGCACAAGTGATAGTGGTATAACAAAAACTGGCTCCCAGGTCGCAGAACTCCAGTTCTGGGCTCCTTTTACCACCCCTCTGCCTTCTGCTGAGAGAGAGAAAGAGAGATGATCACTTTCCACTCTTGCTGTGCTTTTGCAATCTTCATTCTATTTGACTAATATATTCATTCCTGTACATGCCTGTGTGACTTTCTTCACCTCTACCACAAGCCTCAAGGGTGAACAAGTAAAGTCTTCATTGAACTTTGTCTCTCTGAAAAGGATGACTGAAATTTATGTAGTCAAGAGAGACTTAAATGACCTTAGAATCTTCCAGTTTGCAATTTGCACTGCCTTTCTTTAAGTTTCATGGGTCCCAGAGAGGTTTAACAATTCATGAACTAGTGATAAATTGCTATCATTGTGTTGAATATTATAATCATTTGAATATTTCTGGAGGCTGTCCCTTTTTGTTGTTGTTGTTGACTTTGTGTGTAATGATTGAAAACAAAATTTTCGCCTAGTTTTTGTGAATCTTTTCTTCCTGTGTTGAGAGAAAACTGATAAAAGTCACAAGTAAATACAAGGAGACCGGTTAGACTGTTACAGTAATTCAGGCAAGAGGTAACGTGGACTGGGTGGAGTTTGTGGATGTGGTGAATTATTCCTCACCACATCCACAAACTATTCCTCACCACATCCACAAACTATTCTGAAGGAATAGTCATCTGGACTTCTTGACACCTTCTCTCTGTGGAAGTGAGTGAGAAGGGTAAGGATAAGACATCATTTCTGAGTCTGCTGTAACAAAGCACCACAATCTGAGTGACTTAAGTAACAGAAATATTTTGTCTCACAGCTCTGGAGGCTCCAAGTGCAAATTATGGTGTCAGCAGGGATGGCTCCATGTGAGGCCTGTGAAGGATGGATACGTGGCAGACCTCACTCCCTGGTTTGTATGTACCTGTCTTCATGTACACATGGTGCCCTCCATGTTTCTGTGCCCAAATTTTCCCTTTTAATAAGGCATCAGTTATATTGGATTAGGGCCCATTCAAATGATCTCATCTTAACAAATTGTATCCGTAACATCTCAATTTTCAAATAAGGTCACATTCTAAGGTGCTAGTTTTCAATTTCAACAGATGTTTTGGAGGGGCATGATTCAATTTTCAAGAACCCAAAATTTGAGAGTGAAATCTGGGTTGTAGGGATATATATCATATATGTGTGTGACACTTCCATCTACAAGTATACTTCTAGTACTATACACATATGCCGCATACGTCCTCCTTATCATAGATGTATGGCAAAGGAATAGGTCAGACTGAAAAGGAAAATGGACCAACGGCCCTCTATAGTTAAAAAGGGTTGGAAAGAAGAGGAGATGACTTAGGTATCATTTAAAATATTGTCAGTAGTAAGAAGCGCAAGACTTCCAGAGAATATCATTTATGAGAATTAAAACACACACACACACACAACATAGTCACAATGTAAAAATGCAAGAATACATTTAGAATAAAGGATCCATGGAAGAAAAAGAAGAAGGTTTGCTTCTGTAGGAAGAGGGAATTGGGAGTGGGAAATTGCCTGAAAAGGATAATTCAAACAGGAGAGTAGATTTGCATAAATGGATGATAAAAGTGTGTCATAAACTGAAGAGTATGAATAAGTTTGTTCTTGGTAATTGAATTCCAAAATAAGTAAATTAAACCTAATATGATATAAAATAGAAATTCCTGGTTATATTCCTATCTTTGAGTATTTTTTCTGCCCTGCACTATAAAGAGAAAATACATTTCTAAATCTCTTAATTTCTTTTACTGAAAATAGTCACCAGAAGAATTCTGAAAACTAGGTAAAAATGTCTGAAAAGAGGAAGTTTAATGAAACATTCTTGCTGTGCCAAGTGAATGTAAGTTGACTTCAGTACTTATTACTTACTTTTTTGGTGCTGAATAATATTACTCTGTATCCACAGTTTATTTATCCACTCACCTATTGAGAGCCCTCTTCTTGCTTCTAAGTTTTGGCAAGTGTGAATAAATCTATTAGCAATATCTGAATGCAGGATTTTGTGTAGATAAACATTTTCAGTTCCTTTGGGTAAATACCAAGGAGCATAATGATTGGTTGTATAGTAAGATTATATTTATATTTATAGAGATGGAGTTTTTATTTTACTTACTCTAAGAATAATGGATGTATTTACTGCTAATTTCTGAGAAAGGAAGAGCATTTATCAGCACAGAAACCTACTCTAGGTTTGAATATTGTTCCCCTAACTCTCTTGTAGTACACTTTTAATAATAATTCTATGAAAATAAATGTAAGGAGTGAATATGGGTAGCCACAGCTCTAACTTTTCCATAGAAATTATATCTACATGAGTTTTCTAAATCACAAAAATATCAGGATTGACTGAACCAATTTGGAAAGTTAGTGATACCAACAAAAGTCAAACATAACACATACCCGACCCTGCTATTTGACACCTGTGTGTATTCTCAGCACAAATGCTGGTTCACCAAAATGTGTACTTAAATACTCATCGTACTTTGTGCATTTTTCTGTATGCATATTATACTTTGACAGAATTCTGCTCCCCACCCAAATTAGAAGTACCTTTGACCACTGGGTCCCATTGTCAGTGTTAGTTAGCAAAGTGGAAAGCAGATTTAATCAGACTGTGAGGATGCTAAGGACTGCTTTGTGGTCAGTCACAAGAATGCTCAAAACAGGATATTTAGGTACATGGCTAAATACCAGCATATGGGGCTCTTCCTGATGGCACAGCGGGTAAAAGCACTGCATTATGAAGCTCTCTACAGCCACTGCAGCATGAGTTCGATCCCTGGCCAGGGAGCTAACCCACATGGCATGGCAGACCTCCCCTGACCCACCTGCTGGTCCCCTCAGCAGCGTACTTTGTCAGTCTGCCTGTTTTACTCCCAGCTCTGTCATTCACCCACCACACCTCTGGCCTGTACCTCAGTTCTGTAAGCATAATAAATAAATCATTTTAAAAAGGTTATTTTAAAAAATACAAGCATATGAACAGTTATGAAAAACCTTTATAATTTTCTCTCTGAGTCTTATGGCTTTTTTTCCTCTGGATTAAGATTCTCCATAAGTCTAACCACTATTCTGTGTTACCCCAAGTAAAAGCTAGGTGGGAATCACACCCTCACCAGTTGTACTGTAACAGGGTTGTACTAGTTTCTTTCTGTTTCAGCCATAGAAATCCAACATAAACAAACTTAGGTAAAAAGGAAATTAATCATGTTTCTAACTGAAAACCTGTTTTGACAATTAACCTATCACCTCTCCCTTTCATAGGTTGCCCTCTTTGGTTGGTTTCATTCTTAGAGAAGTTTGAATATATAACCCTGAAATGTATCCAGTGCTCTAAGTCAGCATTACTTTAATAAGAACAGCTTAAATTTTTTTAAAGAGATTCACATGTTAAAGGGAACAGAGAAAGAAGTTATAATTGCAAGTCTTCTAAAGGAAAGGCTGAAAATGAAGGGAGATCAGGAAGAAGGTTGTCTAAAATTTAGTCATGATGGAAGGAACACTATGCCTTCTTGATCATAGAATAATAATAAATATTGGTATTTGGCAAGCTGTATATCTGTGCATTATAAACAAATGAAAATTCTAGACATAACATCCCTGCCTTACAGTCTTCTCCCCCTTTTCCTACATCATCTCCATTGCCTATTGCACCAGGAAACCATGTGGCCAAGTGGTGGTGGCTGAGTAAGAGTTCCGTGTGTTGGGGGAGACCCATGTTGTACCTGTATTCCACAAGCTGCCTGCCCTGTGTTTAGCAGCAAATGCTTCTAACTGAATTAGTATCATATTCTTTCACCAGAGGTGCAACCATACATTGTCACTAATGGAGCATAATAAGTATACACCACAAGCATTTGGACAAGGAGTAAATTGGATCACAATAAGGCACTCAGTATAGTACCTGGTATTTAGTACCAACCAAATAAATAGAAACTATTAGTAATTCAGCCAGTTCTCAGCTGTGCAATTACATATGCTCTTGTAGAATGATGAACATGCTCAGTAAGATATTCAGAGAGGTGAAACAAAGGAAGTTAAAATAATGACAACTTAAATCTACCAAAAGAGAGCTAAGGAAACTGTGAGTGAATCAGTAACTGTTTCCAAAGTGCTATGCTCTGTCCTGCATATCTCCACCTTCTTTTCCTCAATCTTAAATATTTCCCCATGATTATCTCCAAATTTCATGTTATTTAGCAAAAAAATAGAGTGCCGTTTTTGTAATTACAATCTTTGTTGTTGTCCTATATTTATCACTTGTAGCATTTTACGCAATATAATTTACTCTTCGAAAACCCATCTGGGAGCTAATTGGCTTTTTAAGATGTTCTTGGCAAATTCTCCCTCCAAATAGGTTTCCTTTGTTTGTATTTTGGTAGCATTCTCAAGTTTTCAAGATTTGGACTCTGGTATTATAATTGTGCTCAGAGTCTCTCCACAGAAGTGGTGGGTTTCATCATCCAATGGGCTCCGCGGGTTTGTAGATGTGACACCCCAGTGGACGGAGGCCAAGAGCCTATAGTAGCAGTCCTGGGGAAAATTTAAGCAGCTGTGGCCATGTAATTTAAAACCTCTGAAATGTGTGTGCTGCGGTTTGTGCACAGCGTTAGTATAACATGAGACTGGATGGAGCCAGTTCCCGGAGGACTTCCTTGCCTGCTGCAGGAAGGAGAGAGTGGATACAAACCTGGGTGCAGCCAGAAAGGTCCAGATAGATGAGCTTGTGGCATCCATTCCCTAAATTCAGGTACTGTAAACCTTTGTCTGTGAACTTTTTGCAATAAGCCAAGCTAAGATTCTGTAAGTTGTGAAAGTGCCTGAAAAGACAGGGCAAGAGAAGAAGATTGATTATACTTTAGTTTTTTTCTCATATCTTTCTGACAAAGAGAAGTAAAGCTGCAACTTAATTTTGCAGATATTCACCAGTTGAACTTGTTAATTTTCTCTCGCTTAGGTAAAGATTAAAGCAATATATTAGATAGTGCATGGTGACATTTCAAATCAAAACTTTGCCTGGATTTTTAAGAGAGCTGACTGGGTTAAAGGTCTGGGGTAGGGGATGTTGGTGTATTTATATGGTCTGGAAGTTAGTTTGTGTTTGAACCCAAAATGAAGAGCATGCATTACTGCAGTGAGGTTTTAACCGGGAGACCCGAGCACAAAATGTCTAGAACAAAACCACTGTAAACCTTTAAATGGCAACTAACTGTTATAAAGAGTCAGGATTTGAGGTAAAATTGAACATAGACTAAAAATGAACATGATCACCAAATGGTTTGAAAAAAAATAGACTTAAATGTTTATGATTTTGTAAATAACAGTTTCATTTTTATAAAGACTAATATATCAAGTGAATTTAAAATGGGCTAAGCACAGTCTGCAAATGAGTAGGGTACATGAGAGGAATAAAAATTACATCAGAGACTATCCATCTTGCTGAGTTGAAGCAGGTTCTATATGGCATAATACCACAATGACCAAAATGAGTATTTCCAGGGGCAATCAGGATGAGGCAGTCCTAACAGGGACACTCCTAAGTTAGTGTGTGTGTGTTTGTTTGTTTGTTAAGTACAAGAATTTTTATTACTGCCAGCTTTGGTTTGTGATCTGCAACAGTTTAACAGCAAGTTAGAAAGCAAAAACAACAGAGTGGGAAGGAAATACCTCTGTGTTTCTCAAAAACCCACAAACGACTAATGACGTTTACCTTCACATAAGTGAAAATGTTATGCAAACGGTGACCAGTAATCAGATGTATTCCTAAACTTTGAGCCCCCCCTTATAATATAATTCCCAATCTGTACTGAATTATTTATTTCAAAATACACATTTCCCTCTGGTAAGGCTGTGTCTGTGAGAATCAGCAGAACAGAGAGGGGAGTGTCCTGGGTGGGCAGAGGCAAGAAGGAGAAAGCACCCTAACATGTCAAAGACTAGTCCCCACTCCTGGCACCCTTGAATTAAGCTTCCTCTCCTAGAGTGTACCCTTGTGATTCAGTTAACAAAGTAGAACTTGTTGGGGGCAGAAAGGGATGCTGTTGTGTCTGACAGCCCTTTATTTTTTTTACATCGTTGGTTCATTCTCCTTTCAGTTGTAATCCCCATAAAATTGCCACCACCAAGACACCTGTGAGTTGTCACCATATTCCCTTGTGCTCTTCCCTCTCCTGTTTTGATCCCTCTCTAGCTTGCTTTGGTAAAGGAGTTCCAAAGCAAGCCGCACAACACAATGCCGACCAAAAACGGCTGTAGAGTCTGACCAAAGTCTATTCCAGTCGCAACTCTCACACTGCAACTTAACCTTTCAGAGATTGTTTTCTGCATTTGTTAAGTGGATATTATAAGATATTATAACACGATTTTTTTTATTCTGACCAACTGTAGAACCTGCAGTTTTCCCACACCTCAGCTTTCTTATCTATAACTTGGCTGTAATCCTATTAGCTCTTTCCTCTTAGAAATGTGACAGAGGCCCTCCCTGGTGGCGCAGCTGTTAAAGCACAGCAGTGTAAGCTAGCTGCAGCCACTTCAGTGCGTGTTTGACCCCCCACCCAGGAAGTGACCCATATGATGCAGCAGACCTCTCCTGACCTGCCCACTGCTCCCCTCAGCAGTGTACTTTGTCAATCTGCCTGTTCTGCGCCTCACTCTGTCTCTGGTGAATCCTCTCACTGCCCCTGCCCCTTTGGCCTGTACCCCAGTTCTATATGAATAAATAAATAAATCATTTTTTTAAAATGTGATAGAAGAGAACATAGATGTAACAATGTTAAATTAAGCTTAGTAAAACAGAGATTTTTCCCATGGAACCCTTGAATTCCATCCCAGGAGATCCTTGGGGGATCTCCTGGCCCCAGGTTAATAACCTCAAGTTTGGCAGAAGAGGTTGTTCATTAAATTTAATGATTACTGGACTGAAAATCAAGGATGACTCTCTTCAAGTGGAACCTCATGGAAAGCACCAGTTTTAAAGCACAGCACAGGCATCTTTCTCAGAATTTATGGCCACTGGGGATGGGGAAAGTATCAGTTGACTGTGAAATAGTACTTGGCAACTTTCAAGTAATATTGCTGCTTTTTATTCTGAATTTGGCAAAGAAACATTTCCCTTTCGTGAATATATCTAGTTTATTATTTTCCCAACTCACAGACAAATGGATAATTCTAATTCTACTTTGAGGTAGTGTTTGCTGCCTGTGACTATTGCTTCCTAATTATTTGATTGGCCCAATGGGAGGCTTGGGGGTTGGGGTGTCTCTTTGTGACTACTTTGTGATTTACTGCTACCTTTATCTTTCAGAAATCATAACGTAGAAACTAAAGAGATAGTTTTTTTCTCCTTCCTCTTAGTTTTATTTTCCATTAAAAAATTCAGACTCTGTGCTAGCTCTTCAACATCTTTAGAGTTTCTATTGGAAGGAATGTACACTGACATATTTAAATGAAATTTTCTCTTAACCATTACCAAGACAAGACCCAGATTTTAAAAGAGAGGAATTGAATGTGGATTCTTTTGAGTTGTGTTAGGCTCTTTATTTTCACAGGCAGTTTGCATCATATAATGCCAAAAAGCTAAATGCCATGATTTGGCCTCTATTCATAGGGTAGACCTTGTGTCTTCCTCTCTACCCAGCCTGATAGGCACTGGTGAGACTATAAAGTGCCTCCTAATAGAAGTTTCTAAGCCAGTTAGTTTACTGATATAAAAAATATTTTGACACCATACAGATATCTTAAAAACTTTACTTACATATACTATCATAATGCTTCTCAGTAGTAATTGATCAATTCATGGTGAGTGAGTGAATGTTTTTGTTAGGATTCAGGAGAAGGAGAAACCACTGTGTCTTCTGATAGATGGTACAAAGTTGTAGACTTGCAGAGAGAAAGAGAAAGCCATTCTAGCTATGGAGAAAGAAACTTGCAGCAGTCAGATGAACAGAGTTAAGGGCTTCCATTGGGAAACTTGGTAGATGAAATTGATCAGGGAACACTAGTGGACTATCAAGAAGGGATCTAGAGCTTAAGTTTAAGAAAATTGCTCCAGGATAATACTGTTGCAGCCCAAGACAGAGCAGGTTGAAGGGAAGTGAGACCAGAGGTTGACCTGTCAGGATGCTGTGCCAAGCGAAGGTCTGAGATGCCACCTGGGTTGTAGCAGTTGGAATAAACAGAAAGAGTTTAATTCAGAATATATTTAGAAGGGAAAAAAATGCTCTGGACCGGGCATGAGCTGCAGTGGGCCCTCATTTTCAACTTTAGAAAACTGATTAGGTCTCCAAAGGGGAAATATTCATATAAAAAGCTGGCAAACAAGTATTGCCAAAAAGGGCAAACAAATTACATTTCTCCTGGCAAATGAATTATTTGGAAGAAATGCTAAAGACAACAAACAGAGAATGAGAGTGGTAACAACCAACATTTCTTTGGTTATTTATAGTTTAAAGAATGCTTTCACATACCCAAACATGTTAGCAGCAATGGAAAGCAGAGCAAAAATAGAGAATTGTCATCCAGTGTACTTTTAATGGTAGATAAGAAAGTCTGTGCATGTTTTTATACCACAAAAAGACATTATTATCAAATAACATCTATCTAAATCTTCTCTCAATAACAAGAACTAGAATTTAAAATCAAAACAAAATTCTCATTTGTATCCTATTCTTCTATCTGTTGCCCACCAGAGATATAGCTTCATTTGTAAAATACACGGCCCTTAAAAATTATGAATGCCTGGGCCCTCCCTGGTGGCGCAACAGGTTAAAGCACAGCACTGAGAATCTAAAAGCTGCTTCCGCATGAGTTCGATTCCCACCTGCCCCGGAGGTGACCGCATGGGGTGGCAGACCTCTCCTGACCCGCCCACTGCTCCCCTCAGCAATGTACTTCGTCGATCTGCCTGTTCTGTTCCCCACTCTGTCTCTGGTGAAGCTTCTCACCACCCCTGAGCCTCTGGCCTGTACCCCAGTTCTGTGTGCACAAATAAATAAATTTTTAAAAAATTTAAAAAAAATTGGCCCTCCCTGGTGGCGCAGCGGGTTAAAGCACTGCACTGAGAAGCTAAAGCCACTTCCGCATGAGTTCGATTCCCACCTGCCCCGGAGGTGACCGCATGGGGTGGCAGACCTCTCCTGACCCGCCCACTGCTCCCCTCAGCAATGTACTTCGTCGATCTGCCTGTTCTGCTCCCCACTCTGTCTCTGGTGAAGCCTTTCGCCACCCCTGAGCCTCTGACCTGTACCCCAGTTCTGTACGTACAAATAAATAAATCTTTAAAAAAAAAAATTTTAAAAAAATTATAAATGCCTATAGTATTTTAAACCCCCCTTGAGAAAAGGTTATTTCAAAGTATGGAAAAAAATGTTTCAAGTTTTAAAAAAATTGGATTGTGATATATGCTTCTCCCGCAGATTTTCACATACAAATTTATAGACTTAGATATACACATGTATGTCATAGACACCTATCATACCCATATATCCTTTGTATACACATACATGTATGTGCATATATTCATACACATACATATCATACCATGGGATGTCTAAAGAAAAGTATTAAATGATGTACTATGTTGCATGCCTAGAGAACTTATACAGCTCTGGAAAGGGTCATGGGTACCACACAGTGGTATCACTGGAGCTGACTTGCACCAGCCTCTCAGACCCAATCATTAGCATCTCTTCACAACTTCACACTGACGTTAAGTTAGTGACTTAGAATCAGTCATGGTGGAAGTCTACACCAAAAAAATAAGTAAAACATGTTTTTTCAAAAACCCTACAAAACCATGAATTAGGAAATACAACAGAATATTCACATAAATTTCAAATACCTTCAGATTATAAAATTAAACAACATAGTTTATATAACAAAATGCAGAAACTATGAGTATAGTGCTGTTACATAAAAATTAAAGATGATAAGATAGTAAAAATACACTGATCTGCTCAATTTTGATGAGCACTATCAGTCTTTTAAACTACCTCTTAAAAAAGAAAAAGGTAAAAAAAAGGTTGTTAAAGTTAAGCATTTACTACATATAAAAGATAAACTTAAACTATAGGGACACAGAAGTTAAAAATACAAGGACACCTGAAGTTATTCTATAAAACACTTGCAGAAAGAAGACAAAGGTGACTGTATTAATAGCAGTTTAAAAAGACTTAAAAAACAAAGAAATATCAACAAGGATAAAGTATTTTATATTGTAAAATCTGTAGTGAAACATTATTTATTAAATTTTATTTATAAAATAATATGAAAATGAATTTGATTTTTAAAATACACAACTAATATAGCTCTATTGTTCTAGAACATATAAAGAACTCATACACATATATACATAAACACAAAAATTTTGTTCTCTAAAAGAAATTCTGTTTATGAATAGTTGACAGAATTGATTTCTATAAACTAGTCTCAATAAATTCCAAAGTAGAAATAATACAGTCTATATTTCTTGACTACAATGTTCAAAGCAAGAAAAATATATAAGCTTAATCAAAGAAACAACAACTTGGAACCAAAAACTCCCTTCTAAATAGTTACTAGGTCAAAGAGGAAGTCAAATATACAACAGTTTTATTTTTTCTTTTGAAAAAATGAGAACAATATTTACCAAATCTTAAAAGCTTTGCCTAAATTCTTATGTAATAGAGGTAATTTCATAGCAATGGTTTGTTTTATTTTAAAAATAAAGAGATCAATTAAATCATACAAATAAAAAAATTTAAAAGATACTTACATCTTGTACCTAAGTCCAAAAAAACCACCATTTAGAAAAGATAATGAAAAAAATATAATCAAAATTATAGCACTCATAGGAGCAAAAGAAAAAAAAATACCTAGAAATAACTTTCACAACAACTAACCAGAGAATTAAAACAAAATTTTATTTAATATTTAGGAACATCTGAAAAGAAGTTTGAAGTATATTCTGTGTTCCTAGTAGGGAATCTAATATTGTGAAAATATAAATTAGTTCTTTGTCTTTAATTATTGACATACTGGTAAACACAGAACTAGCTCCTCCTTAAAATAGTATGCATGCTGTTCTGTTACTTTCTTCCTTCTTGCCCTCTTGTTCCAATTTCTGGTAACCACAGAAAGGTGAGAGAGCTGAAACTCTTAAGATGGCTGGAGTTTGACGGATATGGAGAAGGCTGATTTGCCTCATTTAAATAAGCAATTAAAGAAATGTGTGCCAAAAAAATAAATACGTGAACTAGTATGCACATAAATTCATAAATTTGTACACACTACTATTCTGCATTTGCTATTTTACAGATATAAAAAAGATACAACTTAAAATTAATAATAAAATGCACCGTATTTTAATAACAAAATCTCTCCATATTGGTGAGATCTTGTGTTCTATGACACAGTGGTGGCGTACTGCCTTTGGAGAATGCTAAAGCAAGCTAAAGCCAAAAAGATCAGAACTGTTTTCAGTGTGATACAAGTAACAAACATTACCTTGGCAGAAGTCTCATTGTCCTGTTGGTGATAGTTGTGTTAGATAGATTGAGGTACAGGACTCCAGGACAACTCTCAGAGATGTATCTCATTGATTCATCCTCATGAAAATGAAGGGAAGAATTGTGTCAGTAGTGCGTAGTGTGCCTTATCCACCTTCCTGCTCCCAAAAAAATATGCAAGACCTGGTCATTTTGTATTCTTTAATATTAGGGTAAATCAAATTAAATAGAAGGCGATTAAGCCCATTACTCAGTCCCTTTGCTTTTCTTTGAAAATAAAGTCCCATTCAAGCACAATGACATACATATCATTAAAATACGCGCTCTTGTAAGTTCAACTTTGTTTGAACTTCAATTTGAGCTCAAGTGCCAGTGTCAAACACTCCTGACTTTTCAGACATACAACTATAACTGGGTCCATTTTTAAACCTTCTAAAATACTGAATCTAAAATACTGAAACAGTAAATGTTTCATTAAAAGTAAGTTCATTTTGATAAGTAGATGACCTATAAATAACAAGAGACAAAGACAGACATGCAGGGATTTCTGTGGTTTCTGTTACTGAATACATTAAAATGGCACAACAAAATTTCACTAAATTTGTAGTAAGTGTGGAATGGTTTGAAATAAAATATAGGTTATGTACATATTGTACATAAAAATCATTCTTGGAGATCAAATGAGGGAGAATCTAAAAGATTCAAGCAGCCTTTCCCCATAGAGCTGGAACTTAAGTACACAAGAATGTTGTGATTGATTGTGGCAAGAGAGAGAAATAAAAACAAATATTTCAAGCACAAGCCTAAATTACATTTGTAAGACCAGACAAAGTTGCAAGTTTTGGTTGCAATGGAGATGATTCTTGTGTGAGTAACAGCATATGAAATGCCCTAAAAACCCAGGTTTTGATTGATTAATTGATGTTGCTGAGTCTCCCCAGGAAAAATGGAGAAGGCCATCTAGTTTTAAATACTTATGGTGCATCAGTCCTGGATAGAACAGGCCATTACAGGGAGACCTAAGTTGTCACTAGACTGAGGGATGTAGCCAGGGGAAGAATTCTGTGTGGTCAGTTTGGCTACCAGCCTCCTCATTAATAATGGCAAAGATTTGCAACAGCAGCAGCAGCAATGTTTATTACCATGCTATTTCCTGGAGCCATGGATATTAAAATAACAAAATCCTGCAAGAAAGAGCATTTATAACATGGTTTAGGAATTGGTTCATATACAGAGGCAGCAACTTAAAGAGAACACAAGTTTCCCTGTTAGGTTGTAAAGCTCCATAATTCTGTGACAGCAAAGTTTCTGTGTGTCAAATGCCACGTGAGAACTAGTACAGGGATTTTCAATAAATACTCATGACCATATTCAAGCTGCTACCAAAATGTGGTGTTTGGATTTACATGAGTAGGTTAAAAGTACAGTACAGTTGTCTGAGCACGAAGAGAGCAACCATAATGTATGGCACTGTAATTTGATACAAATGCTATCTTCAAAATGTTCATGGTGCCAAATCAGATATTGAAATGATTGTGCACCTGTTTGACGACTGGCAAAATGCAAAAGAAATGAGACAAGAAGATAGAAAGTTGACATATACACTGCTAGTAAGGTAGACACAGAGAAAACGAAAATATGGAGGCCCAGAACACAAACATGGAGTATGCTTCATGTACCCTAGAGGAATCTGATTTTCCCTGAGATGAGGAGGTAAAACTCTTTCTTCATTTTCCTGTCTGACGGAGCTTGCACATACAAACAAAGCTAGATTAAATCCTATTCTGGGCATTTGAAAGAACTGATGTTTTTATTTCCCAGTGTTTGAACACTAAATGTAAAAACTGAATACAGTGGAATGATGTGAATTTGCTCACAGTTCACGCTAATCTTTCTGAATGTAATATACTTGTGAGACAGGTTTCTTACCAATCAAAGTTTTTAACTTTTGTCTGCTTCCCTTAGTGGAGGAAGCAGAAACACTGCGGTTCGAACTACTTGTCACGGGAACCCACAAGAGTAGCAGGGAAGCTAGTGCTGGAAAGGAGCTGGTGTCTTGATTTTTTTTTTTAATAATAGTTTATTTTTCCATTCTTTTGTGTGTTTTTTCATCTCAGTTGTAATCCCATGGGCTTCCCATCACCAAATCACCCATGTGCCATCACCATAGTTCAGTGCATTTCCCTCCCCCCACTGTTTTTGATCCCATTCCCCACTCCACCCCCATAAATTGTCTCTAGTATATGGCTCTTCATTATTACTATTTTCTCGCCTGGTCCATTATACTCCTGCTTTGAGTGAAACCATCCAGTATTTTTCCTTTTCTTTCTGGCTTATTTCACTAAGCATGATCTTTTCCAGCTCCATCCAAGTTGCTGCAAAAGGCATGTGTTTGTTTGCTTATTTATTTATTTATTTATTTATTTATTTAGCGTTGCTGAGTATATTCCATTGTGTATATGTACCACATCTTTTTATTCAGTCATCCACTTGTGGGCATTTGGGCTGTTTCCATGTCTTTACAATTGTAAATAAAGCAGCAGTAAACATGGAGGTGCAGGTATCTTTTTGAATCAGTGTTTTTGTGTCTTTTGGGTAGACACCTAGGAGTGGGATTGCTGGGTCATAGGGAAGCTCCATGTTTAGCAGTTTGAAGAACCTCCAAACATTTTTCCATAGTGGTTGTACTAGTTTGCATTCCCACCAGCAGTGCAGGAGAGTTCCTTTTTCTCCACATCCTTGCCAACATAGAGCCTGTGTCTTGTTTAAGGAGGCAGTGCCTAGGCGAAGCCTGAAAGCCTGACAAAGAGGGGAGCGGCAGCTGAGGGGAAGGGAAATGACATTCCAAGTAAAGAGCAAAGGTCAAAGCAGCGAGGAGGAATGTCTGGCACAGAAAGGACAGTGGCTAGTGGTTCTGAGACTGGGTGTGTGGGCAAGAATCGGAGTGAGATAAGACTGGAAAGGAAGGCAAAGGCAAGATCACAGAAGTTGGCCAAGGTATCATAAGTGATACCGAAGCACTTTGACTGTATCCAATTGTGTAGATGATGAGTGTGGAGTGAGTGAGTAGGTGATGGACAGATCTGTCTTTCTGGAAAAAGAATTGTGAGCTTACAGATTGTAAGACATATTAGAGGGAGAGGGAAGCAAAAAGCAGGACTCTGTGTTCGCTTCCATCTTAGTTGGCCATCCATGAAGGTCACTAATGTGAGCCTGTTGTCTCAAGTGGGGTCCAGTTTTTTCTGTCTCATAGTCATGTGGTCTTAAATATAAATATGGCTCATTTGTGTGTAACTATTAAATAGTTTCCATTTTCCAAAAACTCCATTCTTGAGTATATACTGAAAAGATTAATAATAACATTTTACAAATGGGATAAAATTTCTTGCCAGTGTTTAACATAGTTTAGTTTTTCCACATTCAGTCCTAAATGAACACACAGGCCTGTATTTTGGCAAAACTTCTGTATTAGCACTCTAGTGTAGCACATCTGAATCTATCTAAACAACAGTAAAATAAGCTTCTTATACTCACTGTGACTGTTGAGCAGTCAGAGACATTCAACTCTTGCAGATTTTTACAAAGGCCTAAATCAAACAAGTTACACATCACTAAACAACATATTGCAAATGTTTAAAGTTTTCCAGCCTACATTGAATGTTATATGTTCATTAGGAAACAAATAAAAATTTTGGCAAGTAACTTGTTCTAAGTATATGGCTTCTTTTCCCAGAAAAAAGGATTTCTTTTGGCTTTAAAATTAAAATATATGCATGTTTATTATTGTTTGAGGATTACAGAAGGCAGGGGGTCAAAAAAAAAAAAGACTGCTTTTGGAAATAACAGCATGTTCTTAGCGTTAGTTGGGAAATGTACTATTAACACAGTCACCACATAGGGCCTACGACCTATGCCTTACTGTATTTGCTTTGTCACCTATCGTTTGTACATCCTCCCTCAATGTGTTTTTTATACTTTTTAAGGTAGGCTGCACACATCACACTTTCTGTCTGTTCTTTCAGTGTGCCTATCATAAATAATTCAGTACTCATCATGATTAACAAAATATTGATTTCATAGGTTAGATTTACATACAACTTATCAATGAATTGCAGAAAAAGATGTGGAGAGTCAAGTGTTTGATAACTCTGGGAACAGAGGGAACTGGACGCTTAATGAGCTTGGAGGGAAGAATAGACAAGCACACACATAGCTGGAGAGCAGTGTTACGCAGTCAGTACTCTGGGTCTATACTGACAGTAAGTAAAAGGGCAGTAAGTATAGGCCACAGAGGATAAGTCGCTCAGGCAGCGGATACCAACCAGCTAATGAGAGGAGGATTTGAGGGGGGAGGCATTTTACATGCAGGGGATCCCATAAAGCAGGTAGATGAACTCCAGGGCTGAATTCCCGCTGCCACTGTGAATAGAAAGCACATCTGCCATTCATAACCATATAGCCCAATAACAATAGAAATGTTGTTAATTATAAAACCAATAACAATAGAAATGTTGTTAATTATAAATCCATTTTGAACATGTTTTCCTCTGCCAAGAAGGGACTCTGTCCTAAATAATAAATGCAAATCAAAACCAATTTTAAAAAATGAAAACAACTCATTGAAGTCACCAGTAACACTTATAAAGATTCCCAAAATAATATTACAATTAGGTTTATGAGATAAATTTTATATAATATTGGCTGCCTGAGAGTAACCAGTGCATTCAACAAATAATTGTTAAGAATTTGCCACATGGCCAGAAACTCAGAGGTACTGGAAAAATAGCAGTGAATAGACAAGAATTCCGGCCTTTATGGAGTTTATATCCTAGTTAGGAAAGACTTGACAGTAAACAAAAGAAGGAAAATATCTACTGCGATAGATGATAACGGATACTATGGAACAAAATAAAACAATACAGGTAGAGAGTCACAGGTGAGTGGGACAGAGTGCAATTTTTTTTTAAGATTTATTTATTTATGCATACAGAACTGGGGTATAAGCCAGAGGTGAGGGGTGGTGAGAGGATTCACCAGAGACAGTGGGGAGCAGAACAGACCAACTGATGAGGTACACTGCTGAGGGAAGCAGCAGGCGGGCCAGGAGAGGTCTGCCACGCCATGTGGGTCACCTCCAGGGCAGGGATCGAACTCATACTGAAGTGGCTTTAGCCTCTGAGTGCTGTGCCTTAATCAGCTGCACCACTAGGGAGGGCCCCGGAGTGCAGTTTTTAAAAGGGCAGTCAGAGAAGGCTTCACTGACGTGACATTTGAGCCAAGAACTTCGGGGAATGACAAAGACAGTACAGTTTACTCTAAGCATTGCCAAAGCCCACATTCAACATAGATGGTGATTGGGAGGCAGTAGTGAAAATGTAGATAAGCTCAGAAAAACAGCAATTGGAAGCCAGTTTGTATTTGCACATCTCAACACTGTAAGAATTCTTTAATTTCTTAAATCCAATGTGGTGATAAACTGCAGGTTCAGTTTTCATTATGCCCTAACACTGTGGACTATATTGGGATTGAACATTGTGAAGTGTCTCATACTCACGAGTCCAGTTCATCCTCTCAACAATACTACATAGTAACCTGAGCCGCATTTCACAGATGCGGAAGATGAGGTGCAATAACAAGCCTAAGGTCACACAAGTAGGAGAGCCTTAATTCAAACTCAAGCCCCAAACATTTAGCCACAAAAGCAGGGTCTATGTGTGCCTTTATTCATTGGAATGCCTTTGCAAAAAACAAGGTGCTGTTGTCTGTCAATAATGCAGCATTCACAGTGCTCCAAAACTTAACTTCTGATGTTTTCTTCTCTTGCAACCTAGGGACTACTTGTACCTCAGCTGGGTCTCATTGTTCCTGAACTACACTAGTTAAAATTACTCAAACTTGGGTTTCAAAGGAATAGTTTTATTGTTCCATCTGTCACACCAAGTAATTGGGGCCAGCTGGATGTCAGGATGCGTGTGGTTACCATCATAATCCTGCTCTTCTTTTGTAAAGCTGCTGAGCTCCGCAAAGCAAGCCCCAGGGGTTCGAGAAGCCGAGTAAATCATGGCCGGGCTGGTGGGGGCCGCCGAGGCTCCAACCCTGTCAAAAGATATGCACCAGGCCTCCCTTGCGAGGTGTACACGTATCTTTACGAGAAGTACATTGATTGTCAAGAAAGAAAGCTAGTTTATGTGCTGCCTGACTGGCCTCAAGATTTGCTGCACATGCTATTAGCAAGAAACAAGATCCGTATATTAAAGAACAACATGTTTTCCTCATTCAAAAAGTTGAAAAGCCTGGATCTACAGCAGAATGAGATCTCCAAAATTGAGAGTGAGGCTTTCTTTGGTTTAAGTAAACTTACCACTCTCTTACTGCAGCACAACCAGATCAAAGTCTTGACAGAAGAAGCGTTCATTTATACACCTATCCTCAGCTACTTACGTCTTTATGACAATCCCTGGCACTGTACTTGTGAGATGGAAACACTTATTTCAATGTTGCAGATTCCAAGAAACAGAAATTTGGGGAATTATGCCAAGTGTGAAAGCCCACAAGAACTAAAAGATAAAAAACTGCGGCAGATAAACTCTAAACACTTATGTAATGAAGAAGAAAAGGAACAACCAGACCCCAAACCCCAACTATCAGGGAGACCCCCATTCATTAAGCCTGAAGTGGACTCTACTCTTTGCCACATTTACGTGTTTCCCATACAAACGCTGGACTGCAAAAGGAAAGGTTTGTAAGTTTTTTACTTTTTCTTTTTCACCAACAAAGATGTTCTTTGACTCTTATAACCTTCCCACCACCCAGCCATACCTTAGAATGTCTAGTGCCACTCCCACCAGAAATCATTCCCCATTGTCAGTAGAATTTACTCCAAGCTTTTCTGGAGTCCAGACCCAAGGTGACTGGTGACTTGGGGGACAATAGAGGAAGGTAGGGACTCTGCTCTGGTGGCGCTGCCATTTGGGTATTCATTTGCTCATCACAAGCTGTGGCTGTAAGAAAGTCTTTAATCTTAAATCCAGTGTAATTAAATTTATCGGTAAACTAGTGGTCATGAAAAAAAATACAAATGCTGTCTATATAACTGGACTTATGCCAATCAAATTTAAAATATGGTGTGTATCTCTGGGGAAATAGCCTTGAGAAAACTATATGCAGATTAGGACACATTAGAGCATTGTGAGAGGGAGGCCTGAGGTGATATGACAGTGTATCTATAGTTCTTGTAGTTTGGTCTTAAGGGCTTAGTAAATGCTTGCTAGCATCCTTTCCCAAGTCACCCCAAGTAAAACATAAAAATTTGGGCCCTCCCTGGTGGCACAGTGGGTTAAAGCACAGCACTAAGAGGCTAACGCCAGTTCAGCATGTGTTTGATCCCCACCCTGGAGGTGACCCACATGGCTCAGCAGGCCTCTCCTGACCTACCTGCTGCTCCCCTCAGCAGTGTACTTCGTCAGTCGCCTGTTCTGCTCCCCAACTCTGTCTCTGGTGAATCCTCTCACCACCCCTGCACTCTGTCCTGTACCCCAGTTCTGTATGCATAAATTAAAAAATCTTTTAAAAAATAAGTAAAAATTTGAAAGAACTAAGTTTAAAGTAGTTAACCCAAGAACAATGAGCCTAAGCAAATCTTCAAAATATTACCTCTTGAATATCATTACAAAGTTTTATATCCTACATGATTTGGGCTAATACTGTGTAGGATTTACACATACAGTATTGTTTTGTCCCAACTTCTGTGACCGGCCGCAAGAAAGGAAGGCGGGAGGCAGAAAGGCTGAGCAAGCAGAGTTTATTGCTCCCCGACAGCAGCTGAGATGGAGCCCCTAGAGTGGGGTCCGCAGCTACTGCCAACTCAATAAGGGGGAAGGGTCTCTTATATAGACCCTAGGTTCACATTCCAAAGGGGTGACTCATTGCTGTGTCCTTTGATGTAAGGCCTAGTTCATTATCAAACTTGGATGTGAGGCCCAGTTTGTTATCACCTTCAGCTAGTCCCATCCCAGATGCAGGGTCCCCATTAATTGGATGCAAGGCCCAGTTTGTTACCGCCTTATCACCTTTGGATACAAGGCCTGATTTATTATTGCCCTTATCCAGTCCCTCAGTAAATCTCCGCATTTGGTCACTCCCATCAAGTATAAATTCATGAAGTAAGAAATGAGATGGAGATTTTAGTAATACTCTTCATCTAATGTTGATAAAGATATGTTCATAATGCTCTTAACATGTTGTTATCCACCCTGGAATAACACGCTTCGTGGCTTCTGTCTCACTTGGTGGCATGGACTACCACTGTATTTGCAGTATTAAAGTCAGATGTCGTTGGATTAGGGTAATATAAAGCATGTTGCCATTCCTTTCACTTATTTGTGGATGTTTTGCTTTGCTTTGTTTCTTTGAGAACAGAAAGGGAAGGTTAAGAGGAACATACACAATCTCTCTCCTCTCAAGGGAACTGTACTCAGGAATTGTTGACATTGAAGAAGTAGGCAGTCTAAGCCATGAATGAATTTGTTCATTCATCAGCCAAGTTGTGCTCAAGCCCCCTGTCTCTGACTCTGGAAGGTGGCACTTGGATAGAGCACACCATGATAACACAGCATGAAAAGGTCTGCTTTTTCCTGCACCCTGAAAACTGAAAATAATTTAATGCTATAATAGTAATTATAGCATCATAACCTGGGAGATGACATTATGGGATCCTCTGAATTTGAGCGAAAGTGTTCATTAATTGAGAACCATGCTGCCCACAACTTCCAGGAAGTTAGCTGTATCCCTTTTACAGTTGAGAAAGATGGCGTAGAGGGGACCGGAGGAGGTGAGCCACTTGGCTGGGGTATCACAGGTAAGCAGTGAAAGCTAAGATTTGAATTTTGTTACCTGGACCTGCTGTTCCCCTGAATTAATCTGATCGTGTCTAAACAAGCAGGTACTTCAAGAATGGAAGCATTAAAGAATTCTTGAAAAGTCAGTATATGTTGTTTTCTGTAGAAAAATTGAGTGGGCTTTCCCTGATATTGTTAGAATGTGTATTTGGTGATTCATGCTGAAGCATGTTTTAAGTAGGATTGCCTTTGTAGTGCTTAGATTAATAACTTGGATATGTCTTAAAAATGGATACAAGCTACTAACCTTAAACTTGGATTAGAAAAATTACTTGATACTGCCCTCCAACTGAAGGGCAATTTGAACTTTTCTGCATCAGTTGATAAAGAGAAAATTGGTATATTTAATCATGAATTACCTCATATTTGCCATCAGTAAAACTGAAGACTTCCACAGATAGACTGCACTGCAATTTAAGAAGAGAAAATGTGCTAGGAAATGTCTTCCTTTTTTACTGCTTCTCTATTCTTGGGCCACTCCCTCCTTAGGGGTCCTATTTCTGCTTTGCCTTTTTTGTCATGATGTTTTTGTCTTTTTCTCTTGGCACACATCAACTTATAAAAATTCAAATATATTGTTTATTACTTTCTTTTCCTCAATTTATTATTGTCTAAACACAACTTTAGAGCTATTGTTCATAAATTCATTCTCTCTGCTTTAAGTATAGACATATATTTACTGGAAAACAACATAAAGATCCACTTTGCATGTATATATGTAAACATACATCTGTATGACAACATAAAATACCAGTGTGTGTATACATATGTACATATATGTGTATACATACATATACATATACATATACATATATATATATATATATAAAATGTTGCATCCTACATTAAATGACTACTCAAGTTCCTCCCTTTCTTTTGGAAGAAAATTTGAGTTTTGGGGAAAGAAGTGGAGAAAGAAGTGGGGAAAGAAGTGGAGAAAGAACACATTTACAGAAAGCATGTGTATAACCATGTGTAAAGTTAGAAATAGAAAAATAATATAACCTATTTTTAAAAATCTACCTTAGAATGTTATGAAGGTTAAATGAGATATAGCATATATAAAATAGTGTCAACTTTAGAAATAGTAGCCCATAGTAGAAGTTTCTCCAAATGTTAATGACCACAAAATTGGAGTCAATATTTTTTAGATCATAAAAAAAAGTGAATGTTTTGTCTTTTAATGTCATTGGCTTTCACTATCATTGATATAAATCTGATTCAGTTGATCATTTATTTTTCTTTATCTGGTTTATTGTTGTTTCCCATAACTTTAAACACCATGCTCTTGTCCATTAAACGTCCTTCGGTACTGCTTATCAGTGGCATGTGTTTCAGACTGATGATGATAATTGAGATGTGCATGTTTGTTTGTTTGTTTTTGGTTGTTACAAAGCAATTCTTTAGTCAGCCTTTAAAAATAAAAATAGAAGTTTAAAATCATGGCTAGAATTCAAGTATGGCAATCTGATCTTAATCCATGATAATTTTCACTATTTTATTCTATAAATAAATAATGTCTAATAGTAAGTAAGTCATTTCTAGCTGCCTGCCTGCTAGAGTGTAGTAATACTTTTGTGTTCTACAATTTTGACACTATCAAATAAAGAAACCTAAAACATGCCATCAAGTAGAGATAGTAATGAGTAAGAACTGTTGTCTAAATGGTATGTACCTAAGGTTGGTATTTTACATGTGTTATGTGACTTACTTCTCAGGACCTTGAGAAAGTGCTATCATTATCCTCACTTTACAAATGAGGAAACAGTATAGAGAGTTAAGTTGCCTTTCTCCACAGGCAGTCCCCAACAGTTCCCAAGCCATTGATCACAACGTAATATCATTTCTTTCTTCAAGATTCTGAGTCATATATTACTTAGAAGAATTTATAGAAGTGTCCTGGGGAATTCCTCCCAGTAAGAAACCCTTCCCTTGGGACCTACACAATAAACCATGCAGATGATCACACACAGAGAACTTACAGGCAGAGCCCCTGAATTGAGAGTTGTGCCTCTCCCAGTGGCAGATGATGAGTCAGATGGTATGCGTACCTAATATTAGGGTACCTGGTATGTGCCAATTTAACCACATAGACCTCAAAAATCACTGTTTTTGCCTTAACTTCTAACAGCAATAAAAAGAAATAATAGCTTTCTTCACTGAGAGACAGGCACTTTACCAACAAAACTTAAGTCTTTCAAAGGGGATAAATGTAAGATTAGTTGAAGGACATGTTTATGCCAGATTGAGGTAAATGGCTTGCCAAAAGTACATGAAAGTAAACATTATTTTAAAACATTTTTTTAGTTTCACATTTACCAGAATACTTTTATCTTTTTTAAGGAGTCATTTTACTTCTAAGATTAGGGCTAAGAATTATGCAGGTAAATTGTTCCATCTGACTCCAAAGTTAATTTTACTGCTGACTTTAACAATAAATAAGAATGGTGGAGTGATAACATACATCTGAGAAGGGTGAAGAAACTCCCTTCAATCATATACAATGTTGTAAACCAATGTTACCTCAAAGGGAAAAAAATAATTTTGTATTTGCAGTAAATGGGAAACATTGTCTCTTTTCCTACTATTTAACAAGACTTCAGAGTCTTTCTGACAACCAAGATCGTCTACTAACTGGGATAATCTATTACTAACATGTGGGAAAATTCCCAGTTTTCTCCTCAAAATCAACACCGTTTGGTTGGAGGAAGGACAAGCCTTATAAGGATGATAATCAAGTAAATATGTCATTTGTTTAGTACCAAGAATTTTGGGTAGCAGCAAATAGACCATGTAGTGCCTGGTTTAGAAGTGGGGACATTGACAAAATTTGACTTCTAG